AGACAGCCGCCGCCAGACTGCGCAGATACGCTCCAAGCAGGAAAGCGTGAGGGCGCAAGGCCCCGCCCCCCGGCCGCCCCACCCCCTCGCGGATTGGCCCTGCCGCCCGTCCCTCCACTAGCAGCCCGCCCCCCGCTCGCGTGCTCCGGGCGCTGTGCCCCGCCTGCCCGCCTGCAGGCCGGCTCTGACCGCGCGCGGGGCCTCCATCCCGCGGAGCAGAGGGCGCGGGGCCGGCCCGGCCCTCCCCTCCACGCGAAGCTTCAGACAACTCGGGCCCCCTCCGCCAAGCGGCGTGGCCACTGTCCACACAGCACGCACACTCCTCCAGGACCAGGCATCGATCCCCGCCACGCGCGGGGCAGGAGGGACGCCAGTGGTCAGACCATCAGGCGTCAAAGCCCGGCCTCCTCCGGACAAGAGAGCGTTGTCATGACGAAGAGCCCAGAGTCATGAGTACCCCGAGTCAGGAGACATCGGGATCCCCTTAAAGTTCTGCTTAAAAAAAGCTTCTATGGGGCGCCTGGGTGACTCAGTCGATTAAGCCTCGGACTTTGGCTGAGGTCAGGATCTCAGGGTTCCTGCGTTCGAGCCCCACATAGGTCCTTGTGCTGACAGCAGGATCCTGCCTCCTATCCCGTCTCCCTCTCTCTCCGCCTCTCCTCCTGCTCATACTTTTTTTTTCTCAAAAATAAACATTAAAAAAATTTTTTTAAAAGACCTCCAAGATCCCTCAAAAGGATACGGAAAAAATTCCATGCCCTATGGTTAACGACCCCCTGCCGAAAAGCCTGAATCTGGCAATGACCTAGAATTTGGATTGGATTGACACCAGTCTCAACCATTAGAGGGCCTTGGAATATCCATTCTTTGTAATGACCACAAATCCTCCTATAAAGTATGCAGGCCCCTCTGCAATGTGGTGTCTCATCTGGACTGGCTGCGGCCCATATTGGTCACTTGCTGAGTGCAGCAAAGCCTGCTGTGGGGGTATGGAAGTCCTCACCCTCATAAAATATGGTCCAGTTAGGAAGTCCCACTAGCGGCCGGTTGCGGGGGGAGTGGGAGGTGGAGGCACTGCCAAGCACAGAGGAAAACCATCTTGCCCTGCCCCGCAGACCCCACAGCTGTGTTTAGCCACATGAAGGAGCCAGAGGAAACCAAGAGAGGAATGGCCCACCCAGCTCATGGAACATCGATCAGTAATAAACTATTTTAAGCCAGTGAGATCAGGGTCATTTGTTACTCAGCAGTAACTGATATTCTTCGCAAGTGACTGAACCTAGTGGGTTTGGCTTTTTTGATGGTTGAAATATTAAAGGTTGTGAAATACACAACAAGAAAGTGCTTTTGAACTTCAGGTGCCGTGCTAGCTACACATTTTAAATCCTTCCGATGATCACATTTAAAGGGCTGGTAATTCAGTGAGAACAGGAATCTTAAGTATATTAAGTATAAAGGAGAGCGATGAGATTTATGTATTTAAAAAATATGTAGGGGTGCCTGGGTGGCTCAGTTGGTTGAGCATCCGACTTCAGCTCAGGTTATGATCTCCCAGTTTGTGCGTTTGAGCCCTCCATCAGGTTCTGGGCTGACAGCTCAGAGCCTGGGACTGGTTTCAGATTCTGTGTCTCCTTTCTCTCTCTCAAAAATAAATAAAACATTAAAAAGATTAAAGAAAATTAAAAGTACATAAAGTAAGACCATCACAAAAAAACAAATGCTGTATGATCCCACGTCTAGGATGTAGCTCCAGCTGCCAAATCCATAGACAGAGTCAGGTGGTGGCTGCCAGGGGGTGGGAGGAGGGAGAGTGGGAATAGGGCAGATTCGGGGGTGGGCGGTGATGGCGGTGGACAGTGTGAAAGTATTTAACGGCACCTAGCTGTGCACTTAGAATGACTCAAATTGTAAATTTTTGTTATATATATATATATATATTTTACCAAACACACACACACACACATCTGTGACAAACTATAGTAGTGATGCTCCATTTACCTAACACCCCTGGTGAATGAGGTTCTCCAAAACAGGCAGATTTCAGACTAACTGAAGTTTGTCCTCCATGATTCAGAATTTTACAATTTTATCTGTTTCACAGGTTATCCACGGAGGATGGGCACCTCCATAAGCTCCTGTCCCTCTTCACTAACTGGATAAAGAGGGCATACATATGTTATCCTGATTCGGAAAACACAAGTATCTCCAGCCAGTTCCCTTGGCATCCCCCCCAGCCCCGCCCCTGCGGGCCCTCTCCCCACTCTTCACACCCTGCTGCGTTGGGCGCCAAGCCTCTCCACCTCAGGGGGGGCTTCGCGCGGGGATGGGGCTGGGGGGCACACCACGCTCCTCTGGTCTTCCGTGTCCTAAAATAAGACCTAACTAAAGCCCCTCCTTCTGTCAAAGTTGCCTTCAACTTTGCAAGAATGACCCACACTCGTCCCTTCTCAGCCTGGATGTGTGAGGGTAGCTGCCCGCTCTCCGGACACCACTCTCCCCTCCTCGGCCACCAGGCGGGATCAGCGTCGGCTTGGTCAGCCCGTAACCCGCGTTCCCGCACGGAACCGCCTGCTCTGGCCTATGTGCAGTCCATTCACACGATAGAATTTATTCGGCAATAAAAAGGAGCGAAGCATTGGCACCTGCTGCCGTGTGGACGAACCTTGAGACCATCACGCTCAGTGAGAGAAACCAGACACAAAAAGGCATATTGTATGAGTCCATTTATATGAAACTTTATGTCCATTTATATGAACAGGCAAAGCCACTGAGACAGAAGGTAGACTAGCGGCTGCCTAGGACTGGGGGAAGGGAGGGAGAGGTCAGGAAGTGATGCTAAGGGGCATGGAGCGTGTTCTCAGGGTACTGAGAACATACAACTCATTTGTGGGGATGGTCGTATAACTCTGTGAACACCGTGGAAACGCTGAATCACACAGTTCTGATAGGGGCACCGTATGGTATGTAATTCATAGCTCAGTAAAACTGCTTTTACAAATCCTTGTAGGGACTAAGGTCTCCAGGGCTACTTGGATGAAAAATAGTTTATTTTTTAAACATTTTTATTGTTTTTAAAAAGTAATCTCTACATCCAATGTGGGGCTGAAATTCACAACCTAGAGATCAAAAGTCTCATGTTCTTCCGACTGAGCCAGCCGAGTGCCCCAGAAAACACTTTTCTACACCATAGCAGGCTTTTCACTCCAGGCTTGGTTTCCTCAACAAAGAAGAGGGGTGGCATAGAATATATATACATATATATACATTTATTTAATTGTTCTTATGTATTTTTGAGAGAGAAAGCATGAGCAGGGGAGGGGCAGAAAGAGGGGGACAGAAGAGCCAAAGCAGGCTCCACATGGACAGCACCAAGCCCGACGTAGGGCTTGAACCCACAAATTGTGAGACAATGACCTGAGCTGAAGTCAAACGCTCAACTGACTGAGCCATCCAGGTGCCTCGGCATGGATTATATATTGTAATATTTTGTAAGCTGCTAACATTCTATTGTAAAAACTATATAAAAATATTTTTTAAGTCTTAAGAACATACTACTAGTAAATCACCCATAATCCTGCCACTCAAATGCACAGCTATGTCCATTCTTGGATTAGTGCTCTTAACAAACATTTTGTTTTCAGTCGCATATACATTGTGTTTAACATGCTGTTTGCTATTTCACCCCACTTTACAGTGGGGGGCCCCTACCTCGGGATCTGACAGAGCCCTTGCAAAGGATGAAATCCTTACGTAATGTAGGCCCACAGCCCGGGTGAACACAAATCTAAATCCTCAGCACCAATGCTCTGGAAGGCCACAAGATGGCGATGTTGCTCCTTAAACCGAACTTCCGGCATCCATGGTAAAAATTAACATCCGGAATGTTTCCAAAGCAGTATTTGGGAGTTTTTCCATGTACCAAAAATAAGTAAAGCTTTCCAAAAATCTTTGTATTTACAAAACCTATTAGTTAGAAAGCAGATGTAGTTAACAAATTCTGCAAATACTATCTTTTCTAAGCTAAGGGTTTTTTCCCCCAAAAAACAAGGTTTTTCCAAAAAACAAAGTATGACTTGGACATTGGTGTAGCCTCCTGACCCCCGTCCCCACACCTCCTCTCGTGCTTCTTCCCAGCTCTGCTCAGAGTCGCCAGTTATGGACTAATTTTATGTATTCACGACTTAAAAAAAAACCTTAAGTAACTAGGAAGAAATATCTCAAAATGTTAAAAGTAATAACAATAGTGATTTATTTTCTCCTTGCATTTCTTTTGTTTTCCTAAAACTGTGTACAATGTGCACGAACCCTTTGTACTATGGGGAAACGGGAGACATCTCGCTTTGTAATTTTTTCTTTACCTCTGTAACTCTCCCACGACAGGTCACACAAGAAATTAAAAACATAAATGAGAGAACAGAGAAATGAATAAAAATCAAGGAGATTAAAATCCCTGTTGTGGGACCTACATAGACTCAGACACTCCCTCTAAAATATTAATTAACTACAAAGGGTAAGATGGTAACTTGATGGTGGGGAAATCCCACAGACACACCCCCCCCCCCGCCCCGAGATCAGGGTCAACTTGACCATCCATAAGACATCAACACCATAACCTCCTTGCTGAGATGCACCTCAGAGGACACGATGTCATCTCTCTGTGATATTCCTGCCCAAAATGCACACCCCTGCTTTAATGAGACAAGCCACATGGAGGGATGGTCTACAAAACAACTGACCAAGACACTTCAAAACTGCTGAGGTCATCAAGGACAGGGGCAGGCTGAGGACCTGTCCCAGACTGGAGGGGACTGAGAAGACCATGGCTAAATGCAATATGGGATGCCGGAACAGAAAAAGGATGCTGGGAACAAGCTGGAGAAATCAGAGTCAAGTTACCAGAACCGCACCCATGTTGACCTCCTGGCTTTGAAGGCTGCGTGCCATCAGGTAAGATGCTGACAATCAGAGACTGGACGATGGGTACGCAGGAATTCATCATACTATTTTTGCAATCTTTTAGAAGTCTAAAATTAAAACAAAACATTCTTGAAAACCCAAGTTTCAAACTTATAGACACAATGGGAGATGACAGAGAAAATAAGTGACGGAGACCTCTTGGGTGGAAGGAGGAGAGAGGAAGTGTGAGAGAGAAAAAGGGAGGGGGAGACACCCCCCCTGCCCAGAGCCCTGTTGTAGGTCCTGGGCCTTGGGACCCGAGCCAGGAACAAAATCCCTCTGGCTTCGGCCCACACGTCCAGTACAGTAACCCAACAATCTCCCCGCCGAGGGTCACCAGCAGTCGCTCCCACTCTGCTCCTGGGGCCTTCAGTGAGTGGCCCAGGACGACAGAGCTTCTAAGCGCCAAGACTCAAACCCAGGCCCAGCTGCTGCCAAGCTCATGGGGTGCCTCTCCCTGCTCCGAGCGGCACCTGTTACAGAGGAAGCTGATGCTCAGAGCTGCAGGCAGGCCCTCAGGGTAAGTCGTCAGCGGCACTGAGTTGTCCCTATAAACCAGCTTTCATGGTCTGTCACAGTGACGTCCAGCTGATCCGGCCAACGGGAGGCACTTCGGACACTGGAGGGTGTTCCCGAAGCCACCTGCCTGGCGTGGCTCCACCGTGCTGTCACTCCGGCTCTGCAGGGGCCCCTTGAGGCCCAGACACTCGGCCTGCTGTGCTGGCAGCATCCAGCCACTGCTGTCCAGGCTGCTCACCGTTACCTGTGGCCTCTTGGCCCCTCTGCCACCAGGGACTGCGCGGAAATTCCCAGCTGCAATCTTACGGTGGTTTCTGTCTTCCCGTCTGGTGTCTGGCTGATGCACCCTCCGAAGGTCTCAAGGACTACGATGTCACCATTTAATATTTACCAAATACAGCTGAGTGCCCGACACTCCCTGAAGGGCTCTGCGCGCACGGCTTCCTCCCCCAGATAACCTCGTCCATGCCAGTCGCTATTCTTTCATACCACGGACGAGGAACTGAGGCTTAGTCTTTGGTTCCTGTGGCCAAGAGCAAGGCCAATAAAGACAGAATCACCACTCAAGACTCCTGTGTCTGCCTTCAGGGCGGAACCTCTTAAATTAGTTAAAATGGTTCTTTGCAAGTGGAGGAGTCTGACCACATGGATCCGTGTAGTGGGTTCGGACTGGTGGTCGTCAGTCAGGGTGATGTGGCTCCCAGGCAACGCTTGGCAATGTCCGGGGCAGTTTTGGTTGTCACGACTGGGAGGCAGGGCACGCCACCAGCATCCGGTGGGTAGGGGGCCACGGAGGCTGTTCAACATCCTCCAGTGCCCAGAGTAGCCTCCCCAACACCCTCTTAAAGAAGAACCTGGCCTGTGGGGCGCCAGTGTGGCTCAGTCAGTTAAGCGTCCGACTTCAGCTCAAGTCATGATCTCGTGAGTTCAAGCCCTGTGTCAGGCCCCGTGCTGACAGCTCAGAGCCTGGAGCCTGTTTTGGATTGTGTGTCTCCCTCTCTCTGCCCTTCCCCTGCTTGCTCTCTGTCTCTTTCTCTTCAAAATAAATAAACAGTAAAAGAAAAAACAAAAAGAAGTGTCTTACATTGAGGTTATGAGGCTGTAAAGAAACTTTGTGCTTCCGTGGAAGATTATGCGCTATTTCGAACACGCCCTTCCAGGTTATAGGATTCTAGCCTTTGAACAATTTTTACAACTCTGCACAGTGTGGATAACCAAGAGCAATGTAAAATTGTTCGTCTCTAGGCCATAAACTCTCCCCAAGTACATAAGCACAGACATGCAAATAATTCTTCCCACCGCAAAAGACGCCAGTGTTGCCTGCATGTGCACATTTGTTTCAGTATCTATAGTCTTCTAGAATCTTCGGATTCTCTTGCACACTGGTTGTTAGATCTTTCCGGTTCACTGGTTAGTGAATTAAGTAAAAGTTTCCATATGTGCTCCTTTTATATCTGTATCAAACAGCTTTATCTCCTGTGTTTTGGTTTAAGACTCTGCTTTCTAACTGCCCAGGTTATTGGTCCTATAATCTGTGGTTCCGTTCAGATTTATTCATTCATTCATTCATTCATTTATTTATGGTTCCGGTCAGTTTTTAAAATTACATGTGAAATATCAATCTGCATTGCATGCAATACAAGTGGGTATTATTTTATGAAACTTTCATTTATTATACATGTGTATATTTATCCTAGGTGGATTTAAATGTATTTTTTAAAAATGTTTTTTAATGTTTGATTTATTTCTGAGAGAGAGAGAGACAGCGTGAGCAGGGGAGGGTCAGAGAGAGAGGGAGACACAGAATCTGAAACAGGCTCCATGCTCTGAGCTAGCTGTCGGTACAGAGCCCGACGCAGGGTTCGAACCTACAAACCGTGAGACCATGACCTGAGCTGCAGTCAGACGCTTAATCAACTGAGCCCCCAGGCGCCCCTGAATGTACTGTTTACTCTGGATGGTCGCTGCTCTAAGGTAAATACTTGCACTCCTAATGTGTTTGTTTTGTAATATTCAATTTCTACTCACTGAGGGTTTACTGAATGACTGGAGGATTTTTAAATTGGCAGATGTAAATGGAAAATTCGAAAGCCTCTTGGTTTAGGATTCGTCACTCTCTTACCCTCTTCTCCCCTCCCTCAGAAGCGAGGTACAGAGCAATTTGAACGCAGTATTCAAGCTGCCTGGTCTGACATTGCTACCGCGCTGGCCCAGGTCAGTGTAAGCCTAACATGCAAGAGACACGCGGTATTATAGACTGCTGGCCGCCTCTGAGGCAAGCCCTACTCGGTAAGGTCCTGAAAAGCTGAGCCTCACTCGGCAGCCGACAGTGGATGAACAGAATTACCTTACACAGGAGAGGGAGAGCCACCATCCCCATCCGCCAGTACCCAGGTCCTTAGTGCTGGCTTGCCCGGTGGGAGGCCTGGGGCAAATCCCATTGACTCTCTGGGCTGATTTTCCCTGTGAAACAGGAAAAGTGGCAAATGAGATACTGTATGTGAAATCCTCCTATAACTGGTAAATCATCACACAAGAACAAAGAGTTCTTTGTCAGGCTCAGGGGCCTGGGTGACTCCAACTGCTGTTCCCCTCCCGCACGCACTAGCGAGGATGGGGGTTAGAGGTGTTCAGCGACCTACTGGCGGGCCCTCCTATGAAACATGCAAGGTCTCTGTGTGTGCACACAGATGTCATTTCCGGAGGCGGTGAGGGTGCCAGCGGCCCCGCCCCCAACGATTAAGAGTCGCTGTTCTAAAGCAGGGCTTTTGGACCTCAGCACCACTGACATTTTGCACCGGCTAATCCTTTGTTGGGGGGAGGAGCGTCCTGTGCAATGAGAGATGTTGAGCGGTACCCCTGGGCTCTGTTCGATGCCAGTAGCACACCCCAAATCCTTGATGATCAAGGTTGCTGAATGGCCTCTGGGAAGCATTGCTCCTGAGCACCTTAGAGAGGCCGAGGGCATGGAAAATAGGACTCTAGCTCAGGGTCCTCTCAGCCCCAAGGCCTTCAGCCATCAGATAGGAATTGTAGCTTTATTGTTATTTATTTGTTTTAAAGTAATCTCTATGCCCAACGTGGGGCTGGAACTCACAACCTGGAGATCAAGAGGTGCGTGCTCCACCGACTGAGCCACCCAGGCACCTGAGAATCTTAGCTATTTTTACTCCTTCCTTATCAGGACCAATGTATCCTCACATCTCAGTATACCTGGTCACGCCACCTTCCATCGCCTTCCCACCGAACATCACTGCAGGGCTTTGATCCCCACCCACTCCTTGACAGCCCTCTCATCCGGCATCCAGCCAGTCCAATTCTCCCTACGCAGTGCCAACCGGTTAATCTTCCTAAAGCTGAACTTTAATTATTTCTCTCTCCAGTAAAAATCGTCTCCCTCTCCATTATAAACACTCCACAACCCAGCTCCAACCCCTCTCCATTATAAACACTCCACAACCCAGCTCCAACCTCACACACTATCTCTTCCCCAAGTCCCAACCAGAAGCCCTGTTTGGAAGAACAAGACAAGCCTGACGGCATCAAACTAGAAAATTCAAGTCCTCGAAGTGATTTTGGCCTTGAGAAGCAGAAATGTCAAAGTATTAAAAATATACCCCGTGTTGGGAATTGAAGGTTACCTGTGATTATCTGATTACTGAAACTCAACACGCCCCAAGGGCAAGAAGTAAAGGAAACCAAAGACTGATGGTTTATAGCAAGGGTTTCAAACTGTGGTCAGAACCATTAGGTCCTGAAATCAATTTAGTCGGTTAACAATAGCCTTTTGGAATGGAAAGAACAGAACAGAATAGAATTAGAACAAAGGTAGAGTAGATCCGGCTGAATCAGCAGAGGTTAGGGTAATTTCTCCGTTAAACTCATCTTTCAGTAATATACATCTACAGCCCAAGTTTCGCATGTAAAACCTTTTTCTTAGTGTAGGTTGAGTAAAAAAACCACAAGTTTTAAAGTCACCACAGGCAACCTACATAATCAGAGTGGAAGCTGGGGTGTTAATAGCCAAAAGTGCAAGGTCACTGGGACCTACAGAACAGCAGAGAGAGACAGGGCTGAAGTGGGAACCGGCGCGGGTCAGCACCGGGGGGCGGACACCGCCGCTGGGGGGAGGGCGACTGTGGGGCTCCCGGACTGGGGGTGTCAGGGCTCAGTCCCGGGCCAGGTGGGTTGGGGGGAAAGAACCAGGAGAAAGGGGGCGAGTCTCGGGTGAAGGACAAGGAGGCGGCCTGAGCGCCGAGACGCAGAGCCGGGTGACCCGCCCCCCCCACTCCCAGTATCAGAAGCCCAGGGGACACCCGGGGGAGGCCTGGCTGTGAGCGCGGTCGCACCGTGGGACCCGCGACCCTCCCGGCCCGCTGGGACCCGTCCTCACCGGGCACCGGCCGGGCGGCGGCGGCAGCGGAGCCCTCCCTCTCCGGCGACCAAGCCGCGGTGGATTCTTTGGCCTCGGCAGCCACAGGCGTCGACCTCGAGGCCCAGACCCCTCCGGCCACCACAACCCGAGCGCCCGCTCCCCGCCCCCACCTGCCCTCTCGGGAGCGAGCCTCGTGCCGGCGCGCCTCCCCGCTGGCCGGGAGCGCGCGCCACCCCACCGGAGAGCAGACCTCTCGGAACGCCCAAGCGGGCTCCCAGCGCGCATGCGCTGCAAGGCCGGGGCCGGAGGGGGCGGGGGTGCCCGTTCCGGGAGCGAACTCCGCTTCTCCGGCTCTTCGGTGAGCCGCGCGGAGCTGGAGGCCTGGCCAATCGGCGCGGGGATACAGGGCGAGGGCTTGCGAAAGGGGCGGGGCAAGCCTAGGATTGGGCGGCGGCCTCCGAGGGCGGAGCGTCGGTGGGACCGGCTGCCTGGACTAGAGATTCTGGGTGGGGGTCTCGGACAAGTGAATGAATTTGCAGGGCTTCATTGAGACCCCCGGGGGGGCCTCCACCAGGATTTGACTCCGTGCTCACTAAGCGGGAACATTTGTTTAAATATTGTATCAGACTTGTCCCTTTCTTTAGTCCGCAGAAGGACATTTCTTATACACCTCACTGAAACCTCCCAAGACCCCACCGCAAAGCTGGGGCAGCTTGAGATCCAAACCACAATAAATAATGATAATAACGGATTACGATTTTTAATAAAATAAGAACATGAGTCGACGCTGATGTAAATAAGTAAATGGGGAGAAAGGAAAGCTCTTTCTTGCAGCAGGAGGCCAAGTAAAAAAATGCAGAAGGGATGATGCAGAAAATCATTTGGCAATCCTAATTAATAGGCGATTTGGGCGGAAATCCTCAATGGTCGCTAAAACTGGAGGGTGAAAAACTAATCAGGAAATAGTATTTACATAACCCCAGAGATATTTATTAATTACAAAAGGGGGAATACAAATTTTATAGAAAAGAAATGGTTCTCAAAGTGTAGTTCTGGAGGTCCCTGTGGAATATTGCAAAGGCGAAGGCGACACGACTGATGTATCAGGTTAATTGCCAAAGCACATATGAGAACCTCTAGTCTTCCCTTCGGCTTACATTAAAGAGATTTGCAAAAATGGCCTGGAGCCTGTTTCAGAGTCTGTGTCTCCCTCTCTCTCTGACCCTCCCCCGCTCACCCTGTCTCTCTCTCTCTCTCTCCTAGAAATAAAACATTTAAAAAAAAAAGATTTGCAAAAATGTACAACACTTCCACTCTTCTCACTGTATTTCTTTGTTTTGAAAAATACAGTAATTTCTCATAAAAGTATGTTAACACATAAAAGGTTTATTATTGTTTCTTTTTTTTTTTAAATGTTTTTAAATGTTTCATTTATTTTTGAGAGAGAAAGACAGCACGAGCAGGGGAGGGTCAGAGAGAGAGAGGGAGACACAGAATCCGAAGACAGGCTCCAGGCTCTGAGCTGTCAGCACAGAGCCCCACTCGGGGCTTGAACCCACAAACCGTGAGAGAGATCGTGACCTGAGTTGAAGTCGGAAGCTTAACCAACTGAGCCACCCAGGCGCCCTTATTCTTTTTTGATAACGACTTTGTTGAGATGTATTCTCATATAATATAATTCACCCATTTAAAGTGTACAATTCAGTGGTTTTTAGTATACTCACAAAGATGTGCACACATCACCACAATCAACTCTAGAACATTTTCTTTACTCCGGAAAGAAATGTAGCCATGGCTGTGAAATCCCCCATTTTCTGCCCTGCTCCCTGCCTCACCCCCACACCTTAGGTGTCTGTATAGTTTTGTCTATTTTGGACACTCATATAAATGGAATCATACAATGTGTAATGCTTTTTGTCTGTCTTTTTTTGACTTAGCATAGCGTATTCAAAGTTCATTCACGTGCAGCAAGTGGAAGTATTTCATTTTTTTAACAGCCACATAATATTGCATCATATATGTAGACTACGGTTTGATTATCCACTAATCTGTGTGTAGGTTTTTTATTTTTTTTTTATTTTTTTATTTTTTTTTACCCATTAATCCCTTGATGGGCATTTGGGTACTTTCCGCTTTGGACTCCTATGATGAATACTGCTATGAGCGTTTATGTACGCGCTTCTATGTGCACGTATGTTTTCAGTTCTTTGGGGTGTGCATCTAGGAATGGCATTGTTGGGTCAGGTGGTAACTCTATGTTTAACCCTTTGAGGAACCGGTAGACTGTTTTCCAGAGGGCCTTCACCAATTTCACAGGGCTCTCACAGACGTTCAACACACTGAGCCACCCAGGCGCTCCCCAGTACCGTTTATGGAGAAAAAGACTATTGTTCCCCCCATTGCGTTATTTTGGCACCCTGGATAAAAATGAATTGACCATAAATATGAAGGTTTATTTCTGGAGTCCCAATTTTATTATGGTTTGTGGCTTTCCTTACACCAGTACCATGTTGTCTTGATTACTGCTCCTTTGCCAGTAAGTTTTGAAACCAGAGGGAGTGAGCTCTCCCACTTTGTTCTTTTTCAGGATGGGTTTGGCTGTTCTGGGTCCCTTGAGTTTCTAATTGTCATCTTTCTTTACAATCTTTTGAAAATGAATCTGTTTTAAATTTTACGTCGCTGAGACAACACTCCATAGCAATTATTTTCACGTCCCTGCCTTTACACCCAATTCTGTATTGTAAACGTCCCCTATATTGTAAGCTTATTTTACATATGATTAGCTGCACAATTTAGTTATTTTCTTGGCGGACACTGAATTTCTAAATTTCGCTATTAACACTGGCGCTGTGGCTGGCTTCATTCCTAACTTTTGGGAAATCTGGGTGAAGAACATACAGGAATGCTTTACACTCTTGCATCTTTCCCGTAGGTGTGAAATTATGCCAACATAAAACGACAAACAGAAAAATTCATTCGCCTTTTGGCATTTACTCTGGGAGGCGACAGCGTCGTCTTCTCATTGGTCCCTCCCTCGCCCACCGCCCCGCCCCCTCCCCCGGCCCCTCCTTCCCCGCGGGCTCCCCCTCTCCGGTCCACCCGCCCTTCTCCTCCCTCTGGTCCCTCCCGTGCCCTTCGGTCCACCGCCCACGGCCACTGGACGCTTGTCCTTCGCCGACCACCCTGTGCGGGGGCACACGGACCACAGCGGGGAGCTGCGAGCCGGGGCGCTGCTTTCCTAGACATTCAGCGAGCGGCGGCCGGAGCGGCCCCAGGCCCCTCACCCGCCCCAGGCGCCGGGCCGCCCCGCCTCCACTCGCGCACTGCGCCCCGGGCCCTCAGCTCCCCGGCCACGCGGGGCCCCCTCGATCCTCCCGCTCTCCTTCGCCGGGTCGGAGCGCCGTCTTCCGGCTGCGCGCCCTCAGCCTTTACAGAGTGAAGACGCTGTTCCTCTGTGGGAAACCCCCTCCCCTGCGCCTCCCTCCTGTGGCTCTAGAGCTGCTGCTGGAAGTGGTCCCCCCCCAATCCCCGCAGGTGCAGGTCGCGCGCGACCCGCCCGTCCTCCGCCCCCCCCGCCCCCGCAGTTTCCTGTCAAACTCGGGGAGGTCCGGACTGTGACCTGTTCACCACTAGATCCCAGGGCCGGGCATTAAGGTCCTCAAGAAGCGAAGGGGCGAGCAAGTGGCATGAGGGAGACGCAAGGGGCCAGGGCGAGGCAGTGGGAACGGGACGGGGAGACGGTGAATCCAGTGTTGCGTGTGCTGCTCCTCTGTGGATTTGAAATGTTGCAGAACAGACATTGGAAGAAAACCTTGACAGGCTGGAGCGAGCGTGTGGGCTCCCGGCTGGGCTCAGCGGTGGCTTCCTGCCCCGTGGGACCGACTACCGTCCACGCAGATGACCGACACCCAGCACCACTGGCTACTCGAGCTCCAGGAGGGAGGGCCACACTTGCTGTGCCCCACACAGCCTCAGGGGCCACCGGCTCAATGAAGCCCCACTCACTGGGGACCCCTAGTGCACCCCCCACCCCGGCCCACGGCGACCACGGAGGCGGCAGGGGGACAGACAATGCCACACCAGCACCGGCGCTCGGGGAGTGGACGCTTCCAGCTGGGGGAGGTCCTCTCCAGGGGCCCCCGACGGCGGTACGGCCGGCTGAGCAGCACCACTCCGCACCTTGCCTGCCCCCTCTCCTGACGCCCCCCTCCACCTGCTTCCCGGGGGGGGGGGGCCTCCCCCCACACCTCTGGAGTTGTCGCCTCACACACCCAGGGGATGACGCATAACCTCAGGAAAGGAGAACCGTGGTGAGGAGCGGGGATCTATTTAAACACAGAGTTAAGACAAAGGAACTTCAAAAATGATGGTTACAGAACAGAAAAGTTACGAACAGCCACGCTGTAAAGTAACAGAGCGATGTGGAGCCGAGCAAGGGGTGCACTGAGTGCCCCGCTTCTCCTAGGCGGGCTCCGGAGGTCCGCGTTACATTGGGCAACATGAGTTTTAAAAACATAAGGCCTCTAGACTCAACTTGTTAGAAATGATCTGTGTCCTTTGCCCAACGGCAGTTTTCAAGAAATGAGGACCACGTGTGCTGAAGCAACGGCAGGCCGAAGCCTTTGCTGGGGGGGCCTCCGGGGAACACTGACTTCTGCTTGGGGGGGGGGGTATCTGTTCCCTTTACTTCCTCCTGCAGCAGGCGCGGCACCCAAGGTGCCTAGGGAGGGGCTCGGGTCCCCCAGGAACCTCTCTCAGCCGCCAAAACAGCCGGAAGGAACACGGTGGGGCCATCATACCCCTCTGTCAGGGCCCTCCTCCACCCTGCAGCCCACCCCCTCCTCAGCAGGACCTTGGGGAGCCATGAACACAGGGGCCCCACGCGGGGTGGGGGAAAGCTGTCAGTCCGTGTGGCTGCCTGGAGGAGGCTAGCCTCCTGATGGTCCAGCAGGAGCAGGCTGAGGCCTCCTGGGAACAAGTCCTGGAGGGACAGTCAGGAAGGGGCTGGATAGGCTTCCCTGCGGCTCAGAGCTGGGGGTCCCACTGCCCCCTTCAGGCCAAGAGCAGCAGGAATGAGAAAGCTCAGAGATCCCACCTGGTCCTCCAGGCTGAGGGGCCAGGGCGACTGAGAGACGGCCCAGAACAGGCAGCCCTGGGGAAGCGCCCGGTGAGGGCTGGGGGGTCCCAGGTGGGCCTCAGAGGACCCAGACTCATGGCCGTGTAAAACCTGTCCATAATGGGACAGCTTCTTTTATTCTTTTTGGGTTTCTTTCTGTTTACAAAAGTCATTTATACTTGATTTGAAAAACTATATGATGTTTGAGAAGGGAAATCAGTTGGCAACTGGGTCCCAGGCAGAAGTCACAGCCAAGTTACGGACCCAGTAAGGGTGTACCTGCGCTTGTCAGGGCTACAGGACCATGCTGGGCATGACAGCATCTGCGGTGGACTCCTCTCCGACCACCTCCGTGCTGGGGGCAGCCTGCCCTGCCAGCCTTCCATCTTCTTTTCCATCTAGAAGAGATGACTGGGTCAGGCTGAGGTCCAAGGCAAAGGGGGGGACAGGCCGGGGCCTGAAGGGACAGCCTGGGGATGTTCTCGAGGTGCCACTGGCTGACTTACACACATAAGTGCTGAGTTCAGAGACATGCTCCCCAAGGCCACCAGCCCAGGGACACAAAGGCTGTGAAAGTCATTTCCGGGGCACTTTGGGCTGAGCTCCAGGAAGTCACTACTATCCCCACCACCGGCCTGGGATGGAATCAGAGCTGGGAAAGTCAGTGGGCCAGGTATAGAAAACACGGGGTGGCAGGTTGAGGGGGTTGCTCACTGACCAAGGGGCGCCCACCTAGGGGAACTGGTGGGGCGGAGCCATAGCTCTTGCTCTGCTCTCCAGCCCTCCATCTGAGGAAGGGTGGCTTTGTTCTAATTCTCACCAAGGGGCCGTGCGGGGTGGGGCCCACATGGTCCCAGAGCCCAGGCAGATCTGAGGAGTGAGCAGGGGTCTCAGATGGGTGTAAGGGACCAGGAGATGGCCCATCCCACCTGGCTCAGGGACAGGCTCTGAGGCAGATTCTCCCTGCTCATCCTCTGCAGTGACCAGCTGGTGGCCTCAGGGTGGCAACTTAGCTCCCCAGGTCATGGGGATGGCACTCTCCACCCCCTGGACTGGACCACCGGGAGGTAGCAGGTAGATGGGGGGGGAGCCCTTGGGGCAGGACTGGCCAGTGGAAACACGGTGAGCTGGACACGCCGCAGAGGGAACTCCAAGCTCCGGGGCAGGGGGGGCGGGGGGGGCGGGGATGGAGTCCCCTAACTCCTGAGTACAGCTCCTGCCCAGGTGATGGAAGATGAGGTGTCCCTTGGGTCCCTGGAAACTCCAGGCCTGTTGCTGGGGACACCCCAGTCCCAGGTGTGCTGGCATCTCGGCTCTAGGGGAAGCAGTGGGGTCCTTCCTCTACGAGTTCAGGCCACTCATTCTTAAATTTCCATCAGTGAGAGGGGTCCCCTGCACTGCCCAGCGAACCAGGAGCCTCCTCCCTGTTCCAGGAAGGGCTGACAGGCCAGGGGACTGGGGGCGCTCTCCGGAGAGCGGGGGGGGGGGGGGGCACCTGTTCACAGGCGGCAAGTGGAGGCCAGCCACTGTGGCTCCTCCCTGCCTTCTCAGGGCACAGCAGACCCCCCTCCATCTTCTCAGGGCACAGCAGACCCCCCTCCATCCTCACAGGGCACAGCAGACCCCCCTTCAGTAGGGAAGAAACCCTGGCTCATCTCTTTCCCAGCCACTGGGCATCCCTTCCCTTGAGCATCGCTCAGGATTCCACGCTCAGAGAACGTATCCACATTCCAATGTCACCTGTACCAAGCTGGGTGGGGGCCGGCGGGTCTTCTTCACACTGTGCTCAGGCCCAGGGCCTCACCTGTGTCCAGCTTGCTGCGTTTCTGCTCAGGCTCCTGGGGGGGCGCCTCGATGGCCCTCTGAGCCTCAGGCTGGATCTTGAGGAGGGCTTTGGCCAGGGTGGCGGGGCCCGGCACCCCCAGGGACATGATGCAGTGGACTCCTTTGCGCTTGGCCCCTGCCACCTTGGCACTGTCCTTAGAGGCTGTCAGCAGGACCAGTTTGGAGAACTTCTTGGGCTTCCTGGGGGCTGCGGGGACGACGTCTGTCCCTGGCTCAGGGGACTCGGGGGACGGCTCCTGGCCGGCCTTCACACTCTCGCCCTCCTGCTCGCTGGGCTCGGGCAGGGGCATCCTGGGATGATGGCCTGTCCCCCAGGCCACGCTCAGGGCCCAGCAGACAGATTTCTCTTCCTGCTCCTCTTCCCTGGTACGGACCCTGGCAGTCCAGGGGCTCCGGCCTAAGGAAGGAGGCAAAATCCATCAGTGGAGGCTCCCCCGGGCCGGGGGCTCAGGAAAGCGGGTCTGGGGTGGAGGTCGAGGCAGACGGGGCTGCCTCAGTGCCCCCAGGGTGAAAAGCTGGGGAGGGTCCTGCACGGGGCTGGAGAGCCCTGGGGCGGTGCTTCTGCCGGGCCCCTTCCTCTCTTGGGCAGCCTGGGGCCTGTCACCTCGCCTTCCCAAACTCCACTTTCCCATCGGAAACTGCCAGATGCAGGGCTCTCGGGGCTGGTGGGGCCACTGAGGCACCGAGAACCGGGCGCTTGTACGCAGAGGCCCGAGGGTGCTGAGCACGCGGTGGCTGGCTTCCCGGGGTCCCCGCTTCACTTGGCCCCGTGTTCTGAACGTCGATCATTCTCATTGACCCGATTTACAGATGAGGACCCGGAGGCACGCCAGGATGGCCGACACAGCCGTGACGTCCGGAGCTGGGGGTCTGATTGAGGCGGACCCGGAGCCTGTCCCCACACGGAGCCGGCTGTGCCTCCCCCAGGATAGCATCCCCGGCCTTCCTGAGCACCAAGCACCGGAGGCAAGCACTTGGGACACAGGCTCAGGTCCCAGACCCTCTCAGAATGCCCGGTGGCCTTCGTCCTGACACGGAGTCCCAGGCAGACCGGGGCCGGGCACCCGCTGGCCCTCCGCACACCACAGAGGGGAAGCCTGGCCCTGGGAGGCGGGGCTCTCTGGACTCCCAACTAGATCTGTCCCCCATCCCGGGCGGGAGGCCTGGACCACGGGACATGGAGGTGCCAGGGCCCCAGGTGGGCAGTGACCTTGTGCCTGAGCCGGTGCTGGCGCTGCCTCGGCTGGGGGGGGATGGGGCTGCAGAGGCGTCTGCGCAATCCACAGTCACTGAGGGCTCCCGGATTCTGGAGATTCTGGGGAAGCAGAAAAGACGTATTACAGAGGCTGACGGCAGGGCTGGCCTGGAAACGGGGCCCGGTGCATCCATGCGGAGTGGCCGTTTTGTCTGATGGGGGGACTGGGTGGTGGGCAGATGGCAGGGTCTCCCTCCGTTTATAGTGCTAGTCCAGAAAGAAGATCACATCCTTAGCAGGCATCTCACCTTCCCGTCTCGGGACCCAGGCGATGGCAAGGATCCCAGACACCTACCTGCACCCCCCCGACCCCTGCCCTGGCCCTGTTTATCCAACCTGGTTTGCAATTCTGTTTCCTGGGACCCCTCCCAATACACATGACCTGATGGCGCCACGGCCAGTATTCAACATTTCCAACACCCCAAACGTGAGAGGGGTCGGGTGTGATGCCAAAGAGGGGTTGAGGTGCCTTATCCCCTACAAGCTCCTCCCCGGCCCCTTAGCCTCTGGACGTGAAAGCAGAGACCTCTCAGAGTGCGACAGACATGGAGCCCCGACCACCAGGGGGTGAGCCCTCACGGCAATCTGCCTGGTAACGGGTCACCCGACCACAGCACCCCTGGAATCAGTGTCTCCTTCTCCCTCCTGCTCCGACCCCCCCCCCCCAGCCCTGGGACGAGCCAGCCTCCGCTCCAAGGCTGTCCGGCCCCTGCCCTGCCCGCGCTGTCGCACAGGGTGACGTGGCCATCCTGGAGGACTTGGGGGCAGCTTCAGAAAGGACGCCACCAATGCCTCCCTGGGAAGGGCAGCTCTGGCACCGAAAGGTCGATGTAATCCTGGCCCCGGGCGGTTCTCTCCCCACACACAGATTGGCTTCAGGGTGCTCCTTCTGGGGCCAGTGCACCTTTCTGGCTCACTGGCTCCCCCTGGTGTGTGGACGAAATCCCACAGGGTTGGAGCCTTTCCTCAAAACATAACAAAAATGAACTCTAAAATACTCTTTAAAAAAAAAAGAAAAAGAGGGGCACCTGGGTGGCTCAGTCGGTTGAGCATCTGACTGCGGCTCAGGTCATGATCTCACTGATCTCACGGTTCATGGGTTCGAGCCCCATATCGGGCTCTGTGCTGGCAGCTCAGAGCCTGGAGCCTCTTTCAGTCTGTGACTCCCTCTCTCTCTGACCCTCCCCTGCTCACGCTGTCTCTAAATAAAACATTAAAAAAAAAAAAAGAAAAAGAAAAAAAAAGAAATAAAACATTAAAAAATTAAAAAAAAAAAGATAGGAGGGGCACCTGGGTGGCTCAGTACGCGGAGCATCTGACTTCTTGATTGGTTCATTTCTCAGGTGATGATCTCATAGTTTATGGGATTGAGACTCATGTCAGGGTCTGCTCTGTCTGCTTGGGATTCTCTTTGTCTCTCCCTTGCTCTCTCTCTCAAAACAAATAAATAAACATTTTTTAAATTATAAAAAAAGATAGGAGTAAATCTTCATGACCTTCAATAGGACATGCAAAGTACAGGCAACCAAAGAACAAACAGATAAAATAGACTTTATCAGAATGTCAAACCTTTGTGCCTCAGAGGACACCCAGCAAGGAAGTGAGGAGACAACTCACCGAGTGGGAAAGAACTTTTGCAAATCATGTCTCCGATGAGTGAACTGTGTCCAGAATTTGTAAAGAACTCTTACGTCGCAGTAACACACACACAAAAAGACAAAGAACCTGATTTAAAAATGGGCAAAGGCTCTGAAGAAGCCTTTCTCCAGAGAAGAGATGCAAATGGCCAGTAAGCCTATGAGATGCTCAGCGTCATGAGTCATGAGTGAAACACGGAACAAAACCCCCACGGGATAGGACTTCCCATGACGAGGACGGACAGAACAAGAGGAACACACAAAAGCCAGGCCATCAGACGTGTGGGGGAGGGCGAGGAGGAACCGGGAGCCCCCCCACACCGTTGGCGGGATGTCACTGGCATAGCCGTGCCGGCATTCTGGCAGCTCCTCCAAAGGCTACACAACCAGTTCCCACGTGACCCAGCAACTCCACGCCAAGTACACGCCGAGAGACAGGGAGACGAGCGTCCGCATAAAAACTCGTACATGAATGTTCACGGCAGTGTTATGCGTAGTCACCCAGAAGTGCAAACAGCCCCAACAGCCATCAACGGACAAATGGAGAAATGAAACGTGGCATATGCATACCATGGAATATCATTTGGCAACTTAACAACTGTGTGACGACATAGATGAGCTTTTAAGAAATTAGACTAAGTGAGGGGCGCCTGGGTGGCTTAGTCGGTTAAGCGTCCGACTTTCGCTTAGGTCATGATCTCACGGTTCGTGGGTTCGAGCCCCGCGTCGGGCTCTGTGCTGACTGCCAGCTCGGAGCCTGGAGCCTGTTTCGGTCTGTGACTCCCTCTCTCTCTCTGACCCTCCCCTGCTCACACTGTCTCTCTCTCTCTCTCTCTCTCTCTCTAGAAATAATTAAAAAAAAAAAAAACCTTAAAAAGAAATTAGACTAAGTGAAAGAAACCAGTCATGAAAGACCACGTCTCCTATGATTTCATCATATAAAATGACCTACTGGGACATTTGGGTGGCTCAGTCAGTTAAGCGTCTGATTTTAAAAAAGAAAGTTTATTTATTTATTTTGAGATAGAGGGAATGGCAGAGAAAGAGAATCGTAAGCAGGCTCCCTGCTCAGCACAGAGCCTGATGCTGGGCTCGGCCTCACCACTGTGAGATCACAACTCGAATGGATATCAAGAGTGGGATGCTTAACTGACAGACCCATCCAGCTCAGGTCTCGATCTCCAGGTCATGAGTTTAAGCCCTGCACTGGGCTCTATGTGGGGAGCCCAAATAAAAACTTTAAATGAATGTAACATGAAAAATTATTTGAAAGAACAAACACAATGACCTAGAGACTAGAAAATCCATAGAGTTGAAAACTCCATCCATGGACGCAGATGTGTGGTGGGCTAGGGGTGGGAGGGAGGACAGTGAGAGAATGAGGAGGGGTTGCTGGTTGGGATGGTCTCTGGGGCAATGAAAATGTCCTGAAATGGACCGTGGCCATGGTTAAACAACTTTCCAAATACACTAAAAGCCATGGGGTTTTACACTGTGAGCGAGTGAAATGTATCGTATGGGAATGATCTCCATACAACTGTATTAGGAAAAAGGGAAGTTAAGTCTCCAGCCAGAGGTCCCCTAGCTTCACTATACCTCAGAAGCACCTGGGGTTGTTGTGACGAGTGCACAGGCCTAGACTACTTCAGCCCCAGCCCCCTCAGAGGGGCTGGAGAGGGGCCCGAGAATCTACGCACTTTACCAGTACTCCGTTTGGTTTTGATACTTTGGGAGACATGGATGATGCCATGGGCTTTTCACTTGACAAATCTGTAATTTCTAGTTCCTGGGTTGAACTGTTGGTTTTTCAACGTCTCCATGAGCAGGGGTGGACATGTCCCGCCAGCTGGATCAGCCTCTTTTCTGGAGTCATCCTCAACCTTCTAGCAATTTACTTTCTGGATGTGGAGGGAAGACTAGAGAGGCAGCTATGTTAAGCCTAATATGTATTTTTTGAAAGTTAAATTTCACTCACTGAACTTGAGTGGGTCCAATCACAAGTGTCCTAAAAAGCACAAAAGGGAGGCCGAAGAGAGGAGGAAGCCACGGGGGGACAGAAGCGGGGTCAGAGAGACACGATGGTGCTGGCTTTGAAGATGGAGAGGGCGGCCACGAGCCAAGCAAAGCTGGAGGCCTCCAGAAGCTGGAGACAAACAGATGGTCCCTCCTGGGGCCCCCGGGAAGGAGCACAGCTCTGCCAGCACCTTGATTTTAGCCCAATGAGACCCAAGTCAAACTCTGACCTCCAGAACAGCAAGACTGTTCCAAAGCTGTGTTGCTTAAAGCCACTAGATCTGTCGTATTTGTTACGACAGCAGTAGTTAACTAATACAAGGTCCAATCCCTTGTTCCAAAGGTTCTGAAAGGCACCGTAGGAACATTACCGGGCAACTGACAAGGGCTCAACAGAATTACCTCCACGCACGTGGGAGAAAAATGACATCAACCTCCACCAACACCTGAGTCCTCTGCCAGGACAAATCCCTTACCCGATCCAGGCTGCTCTCACCTGTGTGATGGCAACAGTGGCAAAATTAGCAGAGGTTGTTAACAGCAGGTAGGCACAGGTAAGCTGTTGCAAAAGTCCGGGCGATCCTGACTGCTTGCACCGCACGGTTCATGGGGGACTGTGATTAGGGGCTGGAAGCATGGAGGGCCCACGTCGAGTGCAGGTACACATCCTGACAGGGAGATTTTCAAGGCAGCAGTGATCCAAAACGATCGAGAACTGCCACTCTGTAGACACAGGGAAGGGCTTCCCCAAGATGGCAATTTCAGGCAACGACATCTCCTTCCCTAATCGCCATGGTGAGGAATCTTACCTTTCCTCCTCCTTACACACTGTAGTGTGTCGTCAGACCTGTCTGTACTGCACCCAAATAGCCCCTCGTCTCCTCCCCTGTCCCCTCCCATTATTGCCACCACCCCCTCTCGGGGCCTGCGGGGTGTCTCCGCAGCCCCAGGATCTCACAACTCCAACTACAACAGAGTGGAGCAAGGCTGAGGAGGGCTGCTGGGACGGGGGTGGGGGCAGCACTGGGTGTGGTCAAGGACAGGCAGGCCAATGTGAGGATCCTTGACTTGGGGTGTCCGGGCTCAGTCTGGGGTCGGGTAGGTTGGGGGGAGGGAGGACCAGGAAAAACAGGCCAGTCTCGGGTGAAGGACGAGGAGGCAGCCTGAGCGCCCGGACGCAGAGCCAGGCGACCCCCTCCCAGCACCAGCAGCCCTGGGGACCCCCGGGAGGGGCCCTGACACGCCGTGGGACCCGGGACCCTCCCCGGCCTGCTGGGGCCCGTCCTCACCGGACACCGGCCAGGCGCCGATGGCAGCGGAGCCCTCCCTCTCCGACGAAGGAGCCGCGGCAGGTCCTGCCGCTTCCTGCCTGGGGCCCCCGCCTAGGTTCGGACCGTCACCTCAAGCTGGGGTCACAGAGCGAGCATGCGCAGCAAGGCCCGGCGGGGGCAATCCTTGGGCGAAATTTCACTGCTCCGGGTCTTCGCCCCGCGAGCCTAACTGGAGGCCTGACCAATCGGCGTGCGGGGGCGGGGTTATGGCTCGCGGAGGGGGCGGAGCAAGCCCGGGATTGGGCGACAGCGCTCGGGGGCGGAGCGTCGGCGGGCCTGAGGCCTACAATCGAGCGCTAGGCGGGGCTCTCCCAGCACCAGCGGGTGGGGTTAACTGAGCCCCTAGGACACCCCCCGGGGTTTGAAGCCCGCTAGCGGCGCAGGCAACCAGAGCTTTCGCTTAACGTCCTCGTTCGCGCCTGACACTTGCCTGAGCGACCCGAGGCTGTTCCCTACTCACTGAAACCACCGGCTCAGCTCAACCCAGCTTCCCCGACGCGGCAGCATTCTCACCGCCGGCCCCTGCTCCCCGCCCGCCGGCCCCTGCTCCCCCGCCCCTCGATCCCTCCCTCGCGCACCGGCCCCTCCTCCCTCGCCCCTCTGTCACTTCTCCTCCCACTGGTCCCTCCCGTGCCCTTCGGTCCACCGCCCACGGCCACTGGACGCTTGTCCTTCGCCGACCACCCTGTGCGGGGGCACACGGACCACAGCGGGGAGCTGCGAGCCGGGGCGCTGCTTTCCTAGACATTCAGCGAGCGGCGGCCGGAGCGGCCCCAGGCCCCTCACCCGCCCCAGGCGCCGGGCCGCCCCGCCTCCACTCGCGCACTGCGCCCCGGGCCCTCAGCTCCCCGGCCACGCGGGGCCCCCTCGATCCTCCCGCTCTCCTTCGCCGGGTCGGAGCGCCGTCTTCCGGCTGCGCGCCCTCAGCCTTTACAGAGTGAAGACGCTGTTCCTCTGTGGGAAACCCCCTCCCCTGCGCCTCCCTCCTGTGGCTCTAGAGCTGCTGCTGGAAGTGGTCCCCCCCCAATCCCCGCAGGTGCAGGTCGCGCGCGACCCGCCCGTCCTCCGCCGCCCCCCCCCCTCGCCGTGTTCTCCACACCCGACGTCCCCGGGACGCGAACCCACAGCGACCCCTGCTGCGGTGTCTGGGGGACCCGGCGAGAAGCAGCGGTACAACGAGAAGTTGCGCGGGCTGTTACAAGGGTGCTTGGGATGGGGGCGCTCAGGTGCTTCCAGGGGAACCCTCCCCCCGGATGGCCCGCGCCCCCCCCCTGCGGGAGGCGGGTGACAGCGGGGGCTGTGTCCCCCCACGCGGGGTGGGCGCCGGGACCTGAGCCGCCGAGCCGCGCGCGCCCCCTCCCGGCCGCCCCCGGGTCACAGAGCCGCGTGCACGAAGGCGCGTGTCTGTTTTGTTTGGTCCTCACCCCACCCCGTTTCCGTTTAGGCATCTGACTTAGTTGTGGTTGTTTCATCGCAGTGTCACTCCATGGCCTTCCCTGAGATGACACAAATTTATCCACAAGGCTTTTTGGATTATTTATAACAGTGAAACAGATGGGCAGTGACGCAAGCGTTCGTCAGGTGATGAGCGGAGGTACCAGTGTCCTCTGTGTCCACATGCAGCATCATTCGGCCCCAGAAGCAGCCAGACACAAAAGGACAACATTGTAGGATTGCATTCGCAGGAAATGTCCGCAACACGCAACCCATCCGGACAGAAACGAGATTAGGGTTGCCGGGGGCTAGCGGAGGTTTGAAAGGAAATGCGGACCTTTAACGGGTGTGGAGTATCTTTCTGGTGTGACGCAAATGTTCTGGAATTAGTGGTGATGGTTGCACTACCTTGTAAATATACTAAAAGGCACAGAATTGTATACTAAAATGGTGCATTTTGGGGCCTCTGGTGGTTCAGTTGGTTAAGCTTCTGACTTCAGCTCAGGTCACGCTCTCTGGGTTGGGGAGTTCTAGAAGAGGATGGGACTCTGCTATCAGCCCCAGCCCACTTTGAATCCTGTCTCCCCTCTGGCTCTGCCTCTTGCCTGCTTGCGCACTCTCTTTCAAAAATAAACATCCAGAGATAAAAATAAAAATAATAAAAAAATGGTGCACTTTATGACATGTGATTTAAATCTCAATTTAAAAAGCAATGAAAGCCCATGTGTAGTTCATTTCGTTAAGCATCAGCTGTTGATTTCTGCAGAGGTCACGATCCCAGAGTCGTGGGATGGAGCCTGAATCTGGCTCCCACTGAATGTGGAGCCTGCTTAAGATTCTCTCTCTCTCTCTCTCTCTCTCTCTCTCTCTCTCTCTCTCTCCCCTTTCCCGTCTTCCCCCTCCCCCCTCCAATAAAAAATAAAAAGAAGAAATGATCAAGAAAGTGGCAGCTTTATTAAAAGTGCTCCCTCTAGAGGCACCGACTTTGGCTCAGGTCATGATTTCACAGTTAAGAGTTTGAGCTTCGTGTTAAGCTGTGTGCTGACAGCTCAGAGCTTGGAGCCTGCTTCGGATTATCTGCCTCCCTCTAGCTCTCTGCCCCTCCCTACTCACACTCTGTCTCTCTCAAAAACAAATAAACGTTAAGAATAAAATAAAATAAAATTGCTACCTCAAAAATGGTTTGTACTGGGGAGATGGATGGGGATATGGGCAAAATTAATAAAGGAGATTAAGAGGTACAAACTCCCAGTTACAAGCCGTGAAGATGAAAAGTACAGCATAGGGAATATTATGGTCAATGATACTGTAAAAACGGTTCTTGGTGACAGTGAGCAGCCTTACAGTGCTGAGCACTAGTGCAAAGAATTGTTAAACCAATATACTGGACACTTGAAGCTAATAGAACAGTGTATGTTAATTGCACCTCAATTAAAAAAAAAAAAGGAACAGAGACACAAAATAGGGTAGGGTAAGTAAGACAGACAAGATGCCAACCACGCCATTCATCAGTTGTATGGCCTCGGGCAAAAAACTTCTTCCTGAGCCAGTTCCTTTAAAAGAAATTGGAATTCTGTTTACTTTTAGAGAGATCAGAAGGATTAAATAAATTGCTTCCAGGGGGGCCTGGGTGGCTCAGTTAGGTAAGTGTCCGATTCTTGATTTCGGCTCAGGTTATGATCTCAGTTTGGGAGTTTGAGCCCTGGATCCTGATTGGGATTCTCTTTCTCTCTCCCCCTCTATCTGCCCCTCCCCTGCTTCTGCTTTCGTGCTTGTTCTTTCTCTCAAAAATAAACAAATAAACTTAAAAAAAATAAAAAATTGTTTTGTACATCCATTATTTATTTTACATAATTACATTTTTAATTTTTATTTATTTTTATTTAAAACATTTTTAAATGTTTTATTTATTTTTGAGAGAGAGAGAGAGACAGCATGAGCAGGGGCGGGTCAGAGAGAAAGACAAAGAATCCGAAGCAGGCTCCAGGCTCTGAGCTAGCCATCAGCACAGAGCCCGACACAGGGCTCATGACCTGAGCTGAAGTCGGACACTTAACTGACTAAGCCACCCAGACGCCCCCATAATTACATTTTTAAATGTTCATTTTGAGAGAGGCGGGGAGGGGCAGAGAGAGAGGGAGAGAGAGAATCCCATTCAGCACAGAGCCCGTCTCAGGGCTCCCTCCCGCGAACCTTGAGATCAGAGCCTGAGTCAAAATCAAGAGTCGGTTGCTTAACCAATGGAGCGACCCAGGAGCTCCTAAATAATTACATTTTAAATACTAAAAAGTGAAAATAAAATATTTTTTGTTCCTTGACTTTAGACATGCATTTTCTGCATATTTTCACTACCTATTTCAGCCTACAATCACTGTTTAAACAATACTTACAACGGTTATTAGTATATTTTGTATGATCCTGACCTTGTTGAACTCAGTGGTACCAGCTCTACTGTGTGTACAGTTTTCAGTCAGTTGTTACAAGTGCTGAAAAAGTCAGTGTCCTTACACAGGCAGCAAGGTATGTGCACCCCAGCGGCTGTAGAGAATCAAATTACAAATGTGCCTTAAGCTCAGGCACACGTATTCTCTCGAGATGGTTCTCATTCCCAAAGTATCAGTTTCAATCTCAGCTTAAATATAGCCTGAATTGTTTTAGTAGTGTTTTTAATTTAAAAAAAATTTTTAAATGTTTTATTTATTTCTGAGAGAGAGAGAGACAGCATGAGCAGGGAAGGGTCAGAGAGAGAGGGAGACACAGAATCTGAAGCAGGCTCCAGGCTCTGAGCTGTCAGCACAGAGCTCAACGTGGGACTGAAACCTCCGAACCATAAGATCATGACCTGAGCTGAACTCGGATGCCTAACCGACTGAGCCACCCAGGCGCTCCTGGGTCATAAAATTTAATAAACAGATGATTTAAATTACAACACTTGAGGAGCACCTAGGTGGCTCTGTTGGTTAAGCACCCGACTTTGGGTCAGGTCATGATTTCACAGTTCACGGGTTCAAGCCCTGCATTGAGAGCAGTGTCGGTGGTATAGTGGTGAGCATAGCTGCCTTCCAAACCCTGCCTTGAGCTCTGTGGTGACCACTCAGAGCCTGAAGCCTGCTTCTGTCTCTGTCCCCCTCTGTCCCTTGATGCTCACACTGTCTCTCTCTCTCAACAATTTAAAAAAAGAAGAAATTGTAATGCTTGTAAACGTAGCATAGTTGGTTGTCGCCGATTAGTGGAGGCTGAGGAGACAGGACAAATAAATACCTTGGTAACATGCATTAGATCTTGGACCAGAGAAGGACATCCATGGGAAATCTGGTGACATTTTAGTAAGTTTGAGAGTTTGGAAGTTTAGTTAAAATGATTATATCAATGTTCATTCCAATGGCTAATTATATTGGCTATGTTAGTCTATAACATTAGGGAAAACCTGGTGAAGGATATATGAGAATGTTTTTTTGCAATGTTTCTGTAAATATAAAATTATTTTGAAATAAAAAAATTTTTATTCTAGTTTGTGGTCATAATGAACTTTTCCATAGTTCGTTATAGAAATAAATACACTTAAGGGCCCCTGGGTGATTCAGTCGCTTAAGCATCTGACTCTTGATTTGGGCTCAGGTCATGATCTCGTGGTTTGTGAGTTCAAGCCCCAAGCTGGGCTCTGTGCTGACAGCACACAGCCTACTTGGGATTCTCTCTCCCCACCCCT